AACTAAAAGTTCTCACAAATCAGAGGCTGGTCCCTCTTTCCCCAGTGGGGCACCCAGTCTCTGTATTCCTTAACTGCATGGTTCCAGACAGAATGCTGTATTGCTTCTACCCTAGATGCTCACTATACCTGAGTACATTTAGCATTTAACAAGGTGTGGCCTGCCATTCAGATGGTATTGGTGCAGGATTTTCCTGGGATCAGTGAGCTCTGCTCATTTTGATCAATGCATTACATGAAACAATACAATTTTCTTATTGCTGTCCAACCTCTCCCACACTGTTCTGGCCAAAATAAGAATGCATCTGGGTTTCTGTTGTGAAACTTTTCTTACTCAGCATGGCCACAGGCATGTAACCACTCACATTATGGTTATAAACACTGAAATTTTTAGTAATTTCTAAATATGCATTTCTTATGGAGCTACTGGGCAGAGTTCACTGAACTGCAGAATGCCTATGCATACAGTTCTGTTGTCTTTTATTGTCACTGGGCTGCATCAAAGTGTCTTTTAGAGACCATCAGAACTATTTGTTTTTTTTCTTAAAGTATTTAAGAAATACTAAGTGGTATGAGGCCAGTAGTCTCACTTCATTGCATTATCTGTCTTGCAACACCTATTGTTGGCTTCAGAAAAATACTGTCAGATGCTGCGAGCCAGGCTGGGCCTTGGCCTGTGTCTGCAGTGCCTGTCAGAAATCATTAGCTGGTGATCTCTTTGACTAATGTTCCTGCTGATTGTCTGATTCATGTTCAAGATCTGTAAATGAGGCAGAAGCATCTTTACTGCTCACCAGCTGTGAAATGGCTCAACACAGCTAGATTTTCAGAAATCAAAATAAAGGTGTTTCCAATAAAGTTTGACAACAATATCAAGTGGAAAGCTGAGAGCAAATCTATGGGTTTGTGTTTTTTAAGGTTACAGTATTATAAATCGATATTATCTCATTGTGCTTTTGGCAGAGTAATATATTTTTCCAAAACAGTAGTAGCAGCATTAATCTTGAGTTGGATAGACATTCTGTATTCAACATAAATTCATACTTTCGATTTTAGTGTTTTGCCCATTATCCCCAGATGTATGAATGTTTAGCACAACCTCTGTCCTTTTATCTGAGTCCTCAGTGTATACTAATGAGGTGTGTGCATATGTTTTTATGTACATATAAAAAAAGCACAGGTGTGACAACAATAAAAAATAAAGGGTGGGATTTTGGGGTTGGGGGGGCCCTGGGGGAGGACCTGATGTATCTGTTTTACATTAATGGAATAACCCCAGGAGAGTCACGTGGCATAATGCTGAGATGACTGAGAAGTAAATCTGGGCCAGAGATCTGACTAATATTTTTCTTGGCAGAGGAGGTAAATATGAAATTCACCACTAGCTAGAGAATTAGTGCAAGAGCTATACCATAAATAGGCTCTAGTTTGAGGATTTAAGCAGAGCTCATTATTTTATTTTTACACTGTAACTAATTGTAGACACAACAGTCTTACAAAAACCCAGGAAGAGAGTTGATTCTATGAATGGATGCTCCCACAGTAGCTCTCCTCCTCCCAGGTGCACGTGCCTCCACCTTTTAGTGCTAAGCAAGAAAACCAGGGAAATTGTACAGTGCATTCTAATTTTTTTTTTAAATTTCTATTTTTGAGCCATAAAGGCAACTTTTTCCTTTTTTTATTTTTTCTCTTTTTTTTTCCCTACATACACCAAAGTGACAGTGGATGGCACGTGGGAGGCAGTTGACTATTACACAGAAGACAAAGCTGAAGTCTTCACCCTGCCACCTTCCCACCTCCTGCATGGATGAGAAAAAGGGATCAGAACTCACTGCTCATTTTTGTATTAGACTTTGATTTTCATGTTATTTGGGTTTTGTAAACTAGTATTTCCACTGCAGACCCTCAGAAGTCAAAAGTTTGAGATAATCAGTGTGATTGGTCACACAGAGCCAAAAACTAATCCGTGACCACAATCAGTGCAGTTTTTATATAGGGGTAGAAAGAACTGTACATTATTCTAACCTGTTCAACTTCCTATACAATAGTTTTTTCCCACTAGTTGCTAGAGTTCTGTTTCAAACTCTCTTTGAAACAGAAATTTTATAATAATGTTATGTGTATGATCAGGATAAATACATTCCAATAGCTTCCTTCCTCAGAACTCTTTGTACATAGTTAATTCTGAAAAAAAACAACAAACCATAACAAAATATAAAGAAAAGAAAGACCTTATGACCCTTCAGTAACTCTAAATCTCTGAAAACTTTGTCTAACTTTTGAGAAGGAAATACAGCTAAATTTGTGCAATACCCAAGCTCACTGTTTTTAGTGTACATTACAGTGTAGATTCTTATGTATTAACATGTTCCACCTCTTCCTTGGATGTCACCATCCTCTGTACAGATTGGCCAAAAAATATATATATAAAATACCCTTTTCTGTCTCTGCTTCTATCTAAAGGTAGGAAAACTTTCATTGGGAAACTATAAATTCCATTAGATCCAAATTATATCAACTGTGTTAGATGGACTGGTTGTTTGGGTCCCATAAAAATAAACAGGGAAATTTTCTTGTCCATTTGTTGTTTTCAGGCAGTTTACAGATTCTGGCAGCTTCTCTCTCAATTCTACTTGATTTGCCAGAATGCAAGCTCTATAGTTTTTCATTTTAAATGAAAATGAAAAGTGTGCTTTATTTGCAAGAGACTTTGGGTGAAATCCTCTAATGCTTATGTGTTAACTCAGCATTTTATCCTGCTCTCTATCTTTTTCTTTTTTCTTTGTATCCTGAATATTGAAGGTCAGGTATGCACCATAGGTGAGGAATCCCTCTTTACTTCCTACACATAAATGGATACTGGGCAGTTGTAGCATACAGGGGCACTACACAGCTCCTTTCCATCAAGCATGTGTCCCTTTCTGTGTCCCTGCATATTTTCTGAAGCTGGAGGAGTCATTTGAAATACAGACACAAAGAGTACACTTTCTAGTGTAATTTATCAAGTTTTCCTCCCTTTTATGTAAATGTTTTACGTATTATTATTTCATCATTGTTTAGAATGAAATATCTGATTTGTGTACAGTAGCAGTAACCTGGGACCAAAATGAGCACTTCTCATCAATATGAATGAGAGGTTTTATTTATTTACTTCTTTCTTGCAGCTGTTGCAGAGATGCAGTAAACCAACTTTTTACTTCAGCTACTCTGAGTATGGTTTTTCCTTGGTTTTATCTGTACTTTTTAGGCTTTGTGATATCTTTGATAGAAACAAAATGTACAGTAGCTGAAGTCTTAGGTGCCTAAGTAACCTTTCTGTGCTAGATAGCAATGACTAGTGGACCTGTGTCCTAGTTAATATTGTAGAGGCCAGTTTAAACTAGTTATGATTTCAGTCCAGTAAGTAGCATTTTTGAGACCTCCTGACACTCTTATGGCAGGTTTTCTAATATGAGCACAATTATTACAACAAATGTTGTAGGTCCCCTGAGTCAAATGCAATACTAAGAACTGATTTTTTGGACACTTGTGTCCATTTTTGTTACCATCCTGGGTTACTAGAAGGATACACTGTGGGCCCTGACAACGTTAAGTGTGCATTCAGTTTAGGGTGAGTTCTGAGCTGATGTGACAACTTCCTAACTGAGGTGCCTTTTGCACTCTTTTTGTCATGTCTGATGCATTGATAACTCAATTGGCAATGACCTTCAAGTATAGCATGCAATGCTGATGTACATGAGAACACAACTGATAAGAAAGTACTTGAAGGATGATAAGTAGGACAGTGCACATTAATAAGTGCTACTTTTTGTCCACATAGGGCTTATACAGCTAAAAAATAAGAGCCATGTCCAGGGATACTCCTGCACGTAGTAAAACTCTTTCAAGAACTAGAAAGTCTGAGTAGTGGGAAATAATGATGGAAATAGTGACATCTCTAGCATTAGCACACACAGGTTGTCTTCTTTTGAACCATGCACTTTGCCAAGGACAAGGGATGCCATCTTAATAGAAAATGCCCTATCTTTTACCTCAGTATAAATAGGCATCTTGGGGCATGCAGGGTACTGTCATATCTCCCTGAGCATCTCCCATCCCCCTTCAGAGTTGGTAAATGACATTCACTACTCCTTTCTTGGAAATGTGCAAAAAGGATTTCCATAGAGAGTCTTTGGAGATTTCCTGTTTTCTCATGTGTGTAATAGATTGGGTCAAGCAACAAAGAGGAGGGGGAAAGAATAAGATTTAATTTTATATGCACTCTCCCATCATCACCATTGAAAAAAAAAATGGATGAGAAAAGAAATTCTGCAATACAGGTGATGTCAGTGTTAAATTGAATTAAGATCATATGTTTTTGTGCAGCAGCTGTAAGCCTTCAGTTATGGGAAGGTTCATAATAATAGAGTACATTCCAAACTAATGTTAGCCAACTGCTTGTGTGTGAATAATTACTCAGAAAAATAACAGTGTTATCTACAGTACTTTAGGGCAACATAGATTAAATGTATAACCTCTTAACTCCATTTTTGGGCATCTGAATTGTACTAAAATAATTTGTGGCAGATTAAAGAAAGAAAATACTAAGTTGTATTTCAGCATATCGTTCTAAAACACTGTGAATGCAAAGGATACCATTCCTAAAATATTATCAGAAACTCATAAAAGCACAGGCTCTTAAATTAGTTTAAATTATGGATAGTGAAATTTATATTGCAAAACAGGTAGTACCTCTTTGGTTTTTGCAAATTGCCAAAATACGGAGATTTAAATGGAATGCAAGTTGCATTTTTCTGATTTGTAATTATTGAGTGGTTTCAAACAACTATAAGTAATGCTCAAAACCTCTAGTCCCGTTATGGCTATTTAGAGAACAGTTGTAGAAGGGGAAAAGCTTTAATTTAGTGTTCCATATGGACAGAGAGATTGGGGGGACAGGGAAGAAAAAAAGTGGAAATTCTTATCATGGTATTTACTGGGTCTCATTTTCTTGTTTCACAGATTTTGAACACCTCTTTAGCAATATTCACAGCACTTCGTGATTCTGCTGGCCTGGGCAGAGCATATGCAGCTGCAGCCAAGATCCTGGCAAGGTAGGTTAGCATATCCTTGTCTGACTGTCAGTGCAGACTCATTCAGCTGTGAAAGACTTAAATTGTTAGAGGTCTGTCGCTTCCCATTACTGACTGCTTAAATTTTAAGCAGTGCCCTTCTTGCAGTAAGTGACCATTTAATCCAAAGTTATTTTAAACTGGTACACATTTTTTGAAGTGTGTGGTCCTAGCTTTTCTTTACCTGTAAACTATAACATGTCCTTTTTATTCCACATTTTGGGGGCTTTTGAAGTTGTTGGGGTTTTTTTTCCCCCCCACAAGTTTAGGAGAGACTTTACTGAAAATAGAAATGCAAGCCTATTTTCCAGGTTTAAAAAGACAGGAAGAGTTGAAGAATGTATCCAGCTTCAGTAGGTGTCTCAGTGTAATATGTTCTGAACTGTAAGTTTCTTCTATGAAGACATTTCTGGTTTGTGCATGTGTAACTACATTTGTTGCAAATACGATGCTTGTGTTCAGTATTTTTGTTTCAGCATCTGGCATTAAAATCTTCTTCCAGGTGAATTAGTTTGAAACTACTTCAACTTCTGACACAAATGATTTTGACATCAAGTAGTCTAATGCAATTATCATATGAATCAGGGAAAAAAGAGACTAAAAAGGAAGGTTGCAGCTATTTCTTGATTCATCCTATGTTTGGGGACTTCAGTGCACATGATGCATGATAGAGGTTGGCAAATTGTTTATGGAGAAGGACTTGTCACCAGGTTTGTTTCAGTGTGCAGAGCAAATTCTCCTCTTTGAGTTGGACCCCTTGTCTCTTGGCCTTTCAGAGCATAAAGGGACCAGCCACAGCCACAGTTGTTTTCAGCTCTCTGATACATAATTTGTGGCTACCCGTATTCTGAGCATCCTAAATAAGGATATGGGATAAGATACTCAAAGAGACACAGAACAGACTAAGAATACCAGGTCAAAACTAGTTTTCAACACCATCTTAAGCCTAACCAAGAAAGATTTGGTTGCTAGAAAACCAGCTGTTACAAAGAGTGGCTTTGCAATGAGTACAGCATTGTCTGAGCTCTCAGAAGCATTCATGGGCTCCTTGTATTCAGGGAAAGCATCAGTCTGGGTAGAGGGTGGGTTGAGATAGTCAAGAGAACACTCCTAGTAAACCATGTATATTAATTTCCTCCCTATGTGATTTAGGCATTCTGGAATGAGGGCATATACATTTATTTACTCAGAACTTACAGATTTGGTGATCCTTCTGAAGTCAGTTTGCTAAATCCTTCATCCAATAGACCATGCCAATCCAAATCCTTACCTTAAAAAGGAATGGCTAGTGATTTTTCTGCTGCATCAAATCTGTACTCCACACTTTCTGGCAACATTCTTTAGCTACCCAGGAATGGACAGTCTCACTGCTTTCCAGTTTGTAATTTGAAAAAGAGGGAAAACAGTAGGTAAGGTGCAATAAGAGGGAGTACTAGGAGCAGTAAGACTCCTCAGTTTAGTATTTAAGGCATTCTCCTAGAAGAGGAACGTTCTGATTGATTCAAGTGAAGGAGGAACTCAATTTCATGTATAGGATCAGGGATTTAACTGCTAATCTATTGCACAGGTGAAGACCCAAACATAAACCCTTTCTCTGAAAAATGGCAGTCATATTTTTAAAAAACACATCTGGTAGTTGTGCCACGAGAACATTTACCAAATCAAACACCTTACATATGTCCTTGCTTTGAAGAGCTTGAGGTATATGATAGGCATTAACTGCTCAACCCTGTAAAATGCCATGATGATTCTCAGCAACTTTCAGTTATTTGAGAAACTTGTATGTAGAAGAGCCTGGGCAGCTTTGAATCATAGAATGATAGAAAGATAGGGTCATAAAATAGTTTGGGTTGGAAGGAATCTTCAAAGGTCATCTAGTCCAGCCCCCCTGCAATAAGTAGGGACATCTTCAACTAGAACAGGTTGCTCGACGCCCCATCCTACCTGGCCTTGAATGTTTCCAGGAATGGGGCACCTACCACCTCTCTGGGCAACCTCTTGCCATGTTTTACCACTCTCATTGTAAAATATTTCTCCCTTATATCTAATCTAAATCAAACCTCCTTCAAACCATTACCCCTTGTCCTATTGCAAGAGGCCCTGCTAAACAATTTGCCCCTGTCTTTATTATAAGCTCACTTTAGATACCGTAAGGTCTCCACAGAGACTTCTCCGGACTGAACAACCCCAACCCTCTCATCCTGTCCTCATAGGAGAGATGCTCCAGTCCTCTGATCATCTTTGTGGCTTCCTCTGCACCCAACAGGTCCATATCTGTCCTGTGCTGAGAACTCCAGAGCTGGACATAGTACATGTTGGATAAATGCATTGATTTATTCTGTCACTGCGGTTGACTGAATCTCCATATTCAGCTTGTTCACTTTTTCTTTACTTGTATTTGTACCTGATCTAGGCTAGACCTGTGCAACTAATTTTAAATTTTATGGATAATGTCTTTACAAAGAAAAGGGCTGTTTCACAAAAATAATGTGTTATAGTCATAACGTCTATGAGAATTTGCTCTGATTTCCTTGTGACAGGTTGGAGAAAGTGACTGAGCCCTCCTGAATAGCTCAGAATCTGTCTGTGGCTTTGGAATATTTTGTGAAATCTTTGCTACAGATGTTTCCAGAGACCACAGGAAACTGAAATTCTCTATCATGTGCATTTAGGCATGTCATTTTCCAGGGAAAAAAATCTGACATAATAGCATCATGTTCTTGACTTATTCTGCCAGTGTCCACCATGGTAATGACTTCTTGTGGACATATGATTTATACATCCAATTCCATCACATGAGCAATCCTATAAAAGGTGCATATTTTCATAAAAGTCTAATAGGGGTAAAAATCTCATAGGGCATTTTAGCATGAAACTGGAAAATGAGTTGCTGTAGATGTGTAATCTCTTCTGCTGAAGTCATCATAACTGTTCTGTGGGATCATGAATGACTATATCTTTAGGAAATTACATTTTATGCATTTAGGAAGGTGATGTCTAAGGAGATAGAAAGTATACGGCTGTATAAAATAACATGTAGATTTTCGAAGGAACTATAAAGTATTAGCCCTTTGAGTAGGAAAGACCTGTTTATCATGTTATCAGATCCTGTGCAGGATAAAGTGTTTCAGTAATCCTTCTTGCATGCTTTAAATATCTCAAGATGCAGTGCTCTTGGAAGTACTTCCTTTAAAAAATTGTCAAACTGTACCAACCAATTGCTGGCTGGCATAAGTGAAGTTCTAACAGTGAGAAATACCTTTCTGATATGTATCAAATTGGTTTCTCTTTTCCTGAAAGAGGTTATATGCCCTAGCAATTTTCATATTTTCTATATGTGGAGCATAGGTTTTTATGTGAAATATAAAAAAATGGCCAAAAATACATCAAAACATTTCTATTAATTCATGAAATTAAGAAAACCTTTTTACATTTTCTCCTGTCACTGATTCCATTTGCTTTATTACTTTCAGCCTCTAGCCCACAAACTTGGTGGCACAATCAACAAACCCCTTAGTGGCTGTTTCATCTCTGCTCTATTTGATTTCTCCACTCTGAGTAAATGATTAAGTTTTCATGCATTGGTTCAACCAAAATCTATGTTCACTCAACCACATCCTTTATTGATTACTTCTACTGCAAACAGTAGGCCAAGTGTGATATACATAATTGGACAGTTGTCAGGGGATGTGGGTGTTAACAGTCCTGTTTTCCCAATTGGAAACTGGAATCACCTTGATACACAAATATTCTGCACTGTTTCATTCTCATTCCTTGGACCAAGGAGTCCTTTTCCTCAGAATATATGTTTTTAACTCTCAAAGGTCTGGTTGAATGGATTTAATGATTATACCATATAATATGCTCTTCAAGTTGCACCTGTGCACTGCATATAGAAAACTAGAAAAACTGGAATTAATATTTGTCTAACACTTTAACCTTGTCCTTTAACTTATATAAATCATATTCTGTATTTCTGCAGGGAAACATTTGATTTTCTCTTCTTAGGAAAAAAAAAGATTAAAAAATATATGTTTCTAATTCTAAAATTTAGAAGCCTTTTGACATTTGGCAAATGTTTACAGTCCGGGGTTTTTTTGTATTCTCATGGTATTAAAATACTTAAATTAGGAAAATTTAGTAAATCCAAGTCTGCTTATTGACAACTAGGCTTTACAATAGCATTTACTCATTTACTTGAACATTTCAAGAATGTTACTTTGCAATGTTTTAGCATCCTTTTGTAGCAGTCTCACCCATCTCAGTCACATACAGATAGTCACTGCAATATTGTAAATTTGCAGCTAAGCTTTGCTGTATTTCCTGTTTCATGGCAGGCTCTACCCTTTATAATTACTCTGATAGCATAAAACAGGGAATTGCAGACTTCTGCCAGACTTTGAAAGCACATCTTCCTAATATAGTTTATAATAAAAACTGTAATGTAAGTAAATGCCAGGCAGTCATTTGCTGCAGGAATATAACTTGAAAGTGGTTTAAAATGGTGAGAAAATAAATCACAACTCTTCATCACTTACAGAAACTTCTGTTTCTGTGCATTTCTTAATTAAGACTGGATTTTCTGTCTTGCTTGGTGCCTTGACATTTAGCATGCTACGCTCCTACATTAGTGACTCAAGTTCATGGCTAATATTGAGGTCAGCTGGAGTAACACTTCAGCCTTAAAGGGAAAAGAGCACAGTGCCTTACTCACAAGCAACCACAGATGTCCATCTTGCAATCACACTGCCGAGGTCTTATATTGTTAATATGAGTGGCTTTATTAAAAAAAGGGAAATCTGCAAGTGTTATTGTCAAAGTACATTAGCCAATTTTCAGCTTAGATTCAGCTGTGACCTCAGGTTGCTCTAATCTCACTGGGATTTGGGGGTGGCACCTGCAATCCATACTTTATAGGTTTGCCTGTGTGACCCTGGCAACCTTTGATGCACCCAGCCAAAGTGCAGTATTACACTCAGGGAAAGGCTGTCACCCCCAGAACTGAGAGACAGCGCTGTTATGGGGCTGCTGCTGCACCACCAGGGTTCTAGAGCATGAAATGGCAGCTCTAAATGACAGCAGCACAAAAAGTCTTACTGAAAAAACAGCCTTCTTACCTCCTTACCTTGTTTTGTCAGGATGTGAGGTCCACCTGTGTTGAAAACGTTATCATCTTCTCAGTAGAAAAAAAATTAAAATAATAAAAAATTCAAAATCCCTGTTAAATCATCACCTGCACTTTCATTCTTGGATTTAAAATATGGCCCAATATTCTGAAGAAAAATGTTGTTATATTTTGTTGAAAGGATTCAGTTCTGCCCTCAGACGTTCTGTGTGGACTAATCTCATTGGGCTCAGCACAGGTAGTGCTAGAGGCCATTTGGAAATAAAATTAAGTCATGGATGAGTCATCACAAAGTCAAGTTACCTCAGAACAAAGGGACAGGTCTTCAGCATCTGGAGAAGCCATCTGAGTAAATATTTAATTTTGTCCCTGTCCTTTTCTTCAGTCAGGGGAAGTCAGCTGAAGCTTTGAAGTACTTGGGAGAGTTTATGAAGAATGCTGAGAAATCTCATCTAAGCCAAAGCATGGTGGATGCAAATGTATTACTTGGGAAAGTTCACAATGAAAGAGTAAGTACTGGTTGCATAATGATCTCAAGCAATTTGGTTTACTTCATGGTAAAAAACTGATTTTGCTTGTCAGATGACCCAGGAGGATTTGATCGAGGTACTGTTACAAGAGTTACCAGATGAGAAGGCACTGTTTGACTAAATAAAATATGCCTTAATTTTTTTGGAAAAGGTGGGAATTTCACACCATATTTAACACTTAGGGTATTGTTTTTAGAATAGATGAATAAAACCTCCAAATTCAGATCATGGTAAACCTCCAGTGTTGTGAAAAATCTGTATCCAAATTACCATTGAGGCCATACGTGCCCATAAAGAGTCATCAGTTAGTGCAAATGAAATTTTATTGCAATATACATTAATGTATGATGCATTGCATACTAATAAGCCGTTTTTAATCTTAGCTTGATTTCTTGCCTACATTCTCTCAGCCAAATTTATGAAATGGGTACTAGCAGCAAGTAGTTTGTCAAAGGTCTGTGCTAGTAGTGGAAGACCTTTCTCTTCTGTATTACCTCCATGCATCTTTGATTTGGCCTGTTTGAATCAATAGGTGGGCAGTGGTGGAAAATATTAAGCTGGAGGTAACTAAGACACTCCCTTTTTCATAGTGTCTAAATTCTTTTTTGAAGTGCTTCTTTCAGAGCCATGTGCCAGTCTCAGAACAGTTCTGTTGGCTGCCTGTCTGGGTAGCATTTTCCATGCTTGCTGCATTCCTTACCGTGTCTAGGGATGCAGTGCTTGCACTGCAGTAGTTCTTGGGTTTTGAAATCACAAGGGTTAAAAACATTACTGCAGAAGTGAAAGATTCATGCTGAGCCCTTTAACACCTATTTTAGAGCTGAAATGCTGCACGAAAATATTTAAATACGGTAAGTAATAAGAATTTGTTCTGCAGACTGGACAATGTGGAAATTAGGAAACACTTTCACTTTGAATAAAATAAAAATAGAAATACCCTTTCAAAATCACCCTTTCTAACCTCTGTTGTCTATATTTTGGTCATAATTTCTATGTGTAATATATTAAACAGACTACTTCCCCTTTTGACTTATACTACCCCCAAATGCTTTTTTTTTCCGGATTCCTCTTACAGAGAACTTCCATCTTTCTCCCCATGCATGCTAATATTTTGTTTGACCTTACCAGATATTAGAGCAGTTTTGAATTTAGGAGAAGCCACTGCAGAACCGGGCATATTATTTCAAGGCGACTTTCCTGAGCCTTAGTAAACTAGAACCCACCAAAAGTTTTAAATAGTTCAGGCAGTATGAAATACCTCTCATTTTCTAAAGAATTCATGTCATTTGCTATCACATAACCACTCAGATAGTATTATTAGGTCCCTTTGAAATTCCTCAAAGCTTTGAAAAAAACCTCCTTTCTTACCCTTTCTGACAAACTTGAAAAAATTGTCATCTGATTTTCTCTATAATAATTAAACATTAGACAAAACCAACACTAGAGCATGAAGCTACTATCCACTGTCATACCACTGTGTAATACCAATGTAAAATGTACTACTTTTCAAGGCTGGATTATACTACCTAGTTTTAGTGAGAGATGTTACTTATTTCCCAGCAATTTAACCTCTTCATCTTTAGATTTCTTCAAGCTTTGTTTTGGTCTGGTGGTATGTTACATTTTAAATTAGAAGCTCGCTCCTCCAGCTCTTCTTTTGACTCCATCTCTGATGCTTACTCAAAGTAGATTCATGGAAAAGAAGAAATATGCAAGAGATGAAGAAATATGCCAATAACCATTTTAGCTTTTCATCCTACTATGATTTTCCCTAGTTTTCTTTTTATTCCCCTTTGATCAAGAATTTGAGAAGGGTTTTTCTCCTATATTTCACATAAAAAATAGTTCTTGTTTTATTTTTTAGTTCTTCTTAATGTATTATCTGCTGTAGTTTATACTCCTTTTTACTGGATTCATAAATGTTGGATTTTTGTATTTTGTAGGATAAAGAGAGAAATTATTTGGGTTTTTTATTTAGCAACAGTTGACATACATTTCTCCTACTATTTCTCTTTTTTGTGGTTAGGAGTAATACCTGGGGTTTGGTATGCCCTTTTCTTCACCCAAAAATGTGTAGGTTTTAATTTCTGTTCTTTTCAGTGCTATTGGTCCATCACTTAATTGTTCTCTTTATTTCCATTTTTAGGATTTATTTTCTAAAATTTAGTGCCACCATAAATTAGGACCTTTCCTCCCGCAGATATGTTGAATGTAATGAAACAATAGTGATAATTTCTAAATGGCCTGACTGGAATCAGAATTAATACTTAAGCACTGATATACTTGCATTTGTGTGTTCAAAATACTGCACAGATAACCAAGAAACAATTCAGTTCCTGAGAAAGATATGAGCAATGCTCATCTGGATTTTAGGGGTCAAGGAACAGCAAGGGAGAGTGATTTGCTTAATGCCCTGCCCTGAGTCATTCTGTGGGCTGAGCTCTCCACTGCAACATCTCTCAGGTGCCAGAGGAGTAGGCTCTAAAGTCAAGATAAAATACAGGTGACTACTAGTTTTTAAAATTCTTTTCTTTTTTTTCCTCTTCTTTACTAGGGGAACTATATTGAAGCTTTCGAATATTTCAGTCAGGCTTCTGAGACAGCCAAAACTTTAAACAGTGTGCCCTTGGTGGATGAAACAAAGGCTTACTGTGGCATTGCAAAGGCTCATCAGCTGATGGTGGCATTTAACAGCCATGTAGCAGCAGAAGATCCCGTCAGCCTCAAGTACCTGCTGGCATGGAAGGAAACCAGAAGTGACATGTGCACTGACCCTCTTACAGTCGGTAAGGCATTGGTTATGAAACACATTAGAGCTCTATTGTCCTCAACAGTTAAGTCATTTTTCTTATAGAGCTTTATGAAATTATTTCCTGGGATTAATCCTTGTGCTGAATGGAGGTTAGATTTACTCCTTTGTGTGCTTATTGTAAAGGCTGAATTAAATAAGTTAAAATACAGGATAGTAGGGAGAAACAGATAGTAGGAGTTGCTCTGGATTGTAACTTACTTTTTTTGGTGCTGTTTGCAAACAGTGATGTATTACTTTAGTCAAATATTATTTTACTCTTTACAGAACATAATAATAATCTTCATTTGCAGTACATTTTTCAGGTGCATCCAAAAACAAGTTCCCTGTTGCTAAAAATTAGAAGTAATTTCTGCTTGACGTAGTTCTGAATCCAGAAGAATGTGGTGGATTATTTTTTGTATCTCTATACTTGAAAATGGAGAGGAAGGGAAAAAATAAAAACAACTCTGGTTTTTTTAGTGTATTTCTTTGGCTCAGGTGGGGTAGAGACAAGGTCTCTACTTTGTGTGGAGTAGACCTTTGTCTTCATGGGTTAAATTTTCTTTGCTCTTTTTCCCTTGTACTATATATTAATACAAGAAAAACTGAATTATGCATTATCTCCAAGTACTGATAGTATTAAACTGTATCATACTGGGGAAGGAAAAGGGATAAATGTACTCCACCTTGAAACTTTCTTCTCTGCATTCATGTGACCAGCATGAGTCTGCAGTACTGTGGAAATAAATGGCATCTGGGCCAAAGTTATGATATGGAGCTTCAGGGCTATGGTGTTATTGCCTCAGGTATCATACTTGTAAAGACAAAAACCTGCTTGTCTGATGCTTTCTTCTGTATCTCCCCCTTTCATAGAATTGGAAAATTAAGTATAACTTTAGCTGTAAATTTTATATATAAAATAAGTGGTAATTAAAGATGTTAGCAGTTTAACAGGGGCCAGGATACCAGAGGCAACACTAGAAGCTACTGAGAATTGTTGAACAAGGACATTCACTGGCATGCTGAAGAGATGAGTTAGATAACAGTGTTTTAAGTTCTAGTGATGGTAACACTTTTACAATGGCTATATATATATTTGTGATTTTTATCTCAATAAGTGAATACCTAGCACACTCACAGATTTTGTTGACTGTCAGAGTTATTTGGGTGCATGTCTCCTGTGTAGACCTGTAGTGCAGATGCCAAAATTTCCAACAGAGATGGCCAAAGAAGAATCCAATTTTATACTCATTTCATTTGAGGATCATTAACTGTAGCTGATACAAATAGGAGGCCAGCAAAAATCAACAATGGAAACAGCAAAAAAACCAGGAACCTTGAAGAGAGAGGATGATCTTTGTTATCTCCAATATGTATTTTAGTTCTTACACCTAAAGAGGTTGTCTGTTCAACTTCTATACATTTCTTTCTGCAGTCAGTTGTGAAACTCATTTATATCCTGAAATATGTACCTCTTTAAGCTCGAGATTCATGCTCCTCTTTAACAGTACTTCAGGGATAAACAGAGTATGGTTAGAAAAGCCCTTTATGTCCTGGCAAGCGTGGTACCAGAAACAAGTTTTGCCTGCTGAGATTCTCTTCCTTCTGTATTTGTGCCTAGTTTACCCTCTGTTACTTTCAGTATTGCAGTTTTCATTTCAGTTCCAGTTCGCTCCAGGAACCCTGTGGCTACTGCATATTTAGCAGCTCTTCCAGTTCAATATCATTCTTCTCATTAGTGCTCCAAGCTTACTCTCATGATACCCAGATTACATCCAGGAAAACATAGTGTCACACTGTCAGCACAATCTGTAACATTCTTCATGTTTTGTGTGCCAAATCTCTCGTTAGTACTGGCATTACATTTTTAATATCTTTGTCTGGCAAAACATGACCTGGCACCAATTCAAGATTAGGATTCACTGCCTTTGAGTTTCAGGTACAGCCTTTATTCTACCTTCCAGGAGACTGTCTGTGCATCCTATGATGAACTCATCACTTAGGAAATTCCTGCTGTGATAATAGAGCAGTATTTCTAGCTCTTTCAAACAGCTCAATGTCGATAATCTACTAGATTTTTCTCAGTCTTTTTCAGGATAAAACAGATAAAGACAAGAATACAATGGTAGTTCTTAATCCACAGGGGAATTCAATGAAAAGGAGAAGAAAGGTAATAAGTTTTTATTTCTAACTGTTCTGACTGAACATTTCTCCTGTGACAAAAAAATAAGAGTAGTTTCTGTATTCTTAGGCAAAAGAAATACTTAAGCTAGTGGAGGAACAATTACATTTAAATTCAAGTGCTGCCATACACCTTATGTCTTTCAACCAAGACTTATTTTCTAAATCAATCATTTCAATAACCAGGCAGAAAGAACCATTAATTACTCAATTTACCTCAACATTTATTAATAAAATAGATGTTTTGACCAGAGTTGTCATGGACAAAAGGGATGGGGTTGTCAGAAAACAATGTTTATATAAGTGCAAAGGAGGATGCATTTATATCTATTGCCTTTGACTCATTTACCTGACGTCACTTACAGGAGGGTTATCTGTGCCAGTGTGAGATGCCACTGCAACAACAAATATGTTTTTATTGTTCTTTTTATGTTTAGTCAAATGTATAAAAAACATTATAAGCAGAATCAGTTGGCAAAAAGGCTTGTGACTCCACATTAAAGCCTAAAAAGGAACCCACAGCTTGACTAACATTGTCTGATGAGAAAACATTTCACTGGTCTTTCAATAAATAATCTCTTGACTTGCTGCCTTCTAGAGGAGAGAAGAATAATTAAAGGTGCTGAAGGCAGGAAAATTTTGAATCTGGTTTTGCATATTGATTACATGAAATGCTGACCAGAAATTGTTTTCTGTGAGTCTGGCAACTCTTAGTCCAGATCATTGCATCTGGCAGGGCTGTGCCTCAGCAAGAGCCCTTGGATGCTGGAAACCATTTAAACACTTTTGAGAGTAGACTTAAAATATATTGTTTTCCTCATACTACAAAGTCTTCAATTGTTTTCTTGAGAAATAGTATGTGTATGTGCTTTTGACCACAGTTTAGATTCACATTCTTTGACTTCGGAGAACTTGGCAAAATTGACACATTTTACCATAGGTTTTCTGTGTTTGTTTTGTTGGGGTTTTCTTTATGGTGGTTTCAAATGCTGCATAAATGATTGTCCTTACCCATGTCATGAATTGTGAAGTCTTATGGTCAATGGAATTATCTTGCATCATCAACTTCAGCATGATTAGGACTATTTCTAGCATTCCACACTTGAGCAGCCTTCAACGTGATTTAAAATGCATGCACCAGCTAAACCTATATAGCTTTGGAAAATACAGTCTAATGAACTTTTGTTCTTACTCCCAAATATGTAGTCCCTCAATATTCTTTCTCTAGCTTCCTCTCAAAGATGTAAGGAATGGTACATTCCCTAGTGTGATTGTGTCCTTTTTGTTGTGTAAAAAGTTAAGTTTTCATCCTCCCAATTCACATTTTTCAAAGTGCTTCAAGATGGTTTATAGTCATTTCTCTGTGAAACATTTTTGGCTAGCACAAAATTGCTAATTTGTTTAAATATAGCAATCTTACCAGGTGCATTTTTGATTGAGCTTGTACGTAACTTTGTCATTCGTTAATAAAAGGATTATCCCTCAAGAATGGGAAGGTCAGAAGTGAGATATGAGATCAAAGATTATGTTACACAAATTCAGTTAACATTTCTCTACTGTAACTTACCACAGCTGTGTAATTTATGGGCCATTTCGGTAATAGTGTCCAACAGCAGAACAGTCTGCTTCATAATGTGATAAACTGCTTTTTTTTTACTCTCTCTTCTTTCTGAAGTACACTACCAGGAAAACTTCAAATCTTGTCTTTCCTTCTCTAATAAATTTTGTTGGTTACCTCAAATGCCTACTAAATAAAACTGCCATGACACTGTACCCAAAATGCTTGACTGCAAATCCAACCCTATCTTCATGTGCACTTTGTATTTGCCCAGTACCTGCTTATTGGTGCTTGCAGATTTTTTGATCTCAGAAAATTTAAGATTAAGAAAATGTATGGTTCACTGATCAGAACTAGAAAATAGCAAACCTTTGTACCTTATAAAGATATACATCCATTACATAGTTCTTATATGATGTCAGTGGAAAGGTAGAGGCTTGTGTTAGCATGTTCCTTTCACTGCATGTTTTAAATCTAAAGCTCTGCCAGAGATTTTGGGATATCACGACACTGATGTGAGACTGCAAGTATTGTGCACGTGTGTGCACTCCCTCAAAGCCCCTGTTTTGTGTCTGTTATATTGTTTGGATCATTTGTTAGTCAGTAAGTTCTATTCTGCAGTTAGCAAGCACAGAAGGCAAATATCTAGGCTTGTGTGGTGACTGAAATTAGCACACAGTCTTAGTGTTTTCTTTTGGCATGTTTCTTCTTGATAGTATATTAATGGGTTTTGTAACTAATTTGTCAAGTAAAGATCATTAAATGTATATGCTATCAGTGACAAAGTAGCTAGACTGAGTTTGAACTGAGGCCAAACTGTGATTGTTCTTCTCAATCACTGCTGTAAAGAAGATGGGAGTGATTCAGACCCTTGATTTGGAAGGCAGCCAGGATGCCCATGCCTCCAAACGATCTTTTGGGCACCCCTTCCCTCTCAGAGGTCTGTTCACTGTGCAAGAGTCTGGAGATAGGATCTGCAATGGACTCTGCTTCAAGCTCTGTATGGTTATGGATTATGTCAATAGTGAGTTATAAAAGCTGAGAGTTTATTTAAGTTTTCAGAATGTATTGTTAATATGACAAAAATAATGAGAAATTGAAAGGTGTTTTCTCAGAAAATGCAACTGAACATGAGGTAAGGAAATTATCCACTTGTTCACACTGGTAAATAAGAACTATGACTTTAAATTATGTAAAGTAGGTGTGTGACCAAGTACAGACTGCAAGGCTGTCCCTATGCCAGAGGCACAAAGGCT